CCTCAGAGGGACCTGGTCTACAACTGCCTTCTTCCCCCACCCCATTTTCTGTTTGGAAGGAACACGCATGTGAGACCTTTGTCAGATTGGTGCTGCTGGAATCCATTCTTAGATGTGATTCCTGAGCCTGGGTGTCAATAGGGAAATGACTTCAGTGTTTGTTTACTAGAGTGACTAATGGTGCCTTTTCCAGCTGGTCTAGAGCTGATGTGCCTCCATTTATAAAAGCCTTCCCCAGCCTGTGAATAGAGCCCCATGTTGGGCTGAGCTGTCGGTTAGCGTTTAAGCTGGAGGGGGAAGAGGAGGCAGTGTCAGAGCACAGTGGAGGAAAACAGGATAAATTAGGCTGTAGCTTGTAGCCAGCATTACCAAGAAGGCTGTTTTCTCAAATGAGCTTGCTTGGAGCTGGCAGAGGCCTGTGTGTACGACGCTGTTAGGATGATTTCTGTGCCATCACTCCCCCTCATAGGAGCAGTGATGTCACGCTCTCTCAGCACAGGGACAGTCCCTGTTTTCATGTGGCCTCCAGGAATGTGGACGTGCCTTCACTGCTCTCACTGCTGTGGCTGAGCCCACTGATTTTTAGCTCTGGATGCAAATTCTGGTATCTGAAAGGGAAGGAAAGGGGAAAGTGGGGAGGGAGCTCACAGAGTAACTACTCCTTTGGGACCACAACATCCATAATCTGATTTATTCCCAAAAGAATTCCTATGGCTGTTTTTGTATTTTCTAAACACCTGAGGAAACTGAGGTACCCAGAGGATTTATCAGATCTGGGATCCGGTGTCCCCAGTGGGCTGGGAGAGATAGCCCTGGGTGGCTAGCCAAGCCATGCCTGCTGCTGTGGCCTGTGGGACCTCCCGTCCCCCCAGCCCTGGCCCCGGGGCCGGCAGCCTGGGCAGTGGGAGCGCTGCAGCCAGAGCCCCCCGTGCCCGTCTTTTTCTGGGAGCCCGGGCGGGAGCTCTCCACGGGCCGGGTAGTGGGAGGAGGAGGCTTTGGGCCGCACGGGTGCCTGAGGGCCTTGTGACTGTGTTGCAAGGGGCTGCTCAATGCAGGAAGGACAGGGGCAGGCGAACTGGGACGAGGACCTAGACGCGGGAGGCCGGGAACCCAGTGCTAGCCCTGCAGCCTCCAGGCTATATGTGGCCAAACCCGTTCCCGCGGCCCGAGTGGCGGAGCCAGAAGGGCCGCCTTGCAGGAAGGCGCCCAGGCCCCTCGCACCCTGGCAGGCCAGCTGAGTCCTCACTGCCTGAGTCTGAGCCGCCTGCCTGGGGGCTCGGTCAGGACACCAGCCTCGCCACCAGTCTGCGTTTGGAGGATGGCTGCGGGGCCACCCAGGGGTGAACCCACCGAAGGTGGGATCTGCCCTGAGGGCTTCTGTAGGCCTGGAGAATGTAGGATAGCTGGAGGAAGGATGCCATGGGGCCTTTCAAATGGGCAGAACTTAGGAAAGTCAGAGAGAGGAGGGGAACCCCACGGACCCTTCAGGTTGTTTCCTGGAATGTTTCCTCTGAAAACATGTTAAGCGACTAGCCACCAGTTTCTTCCCAGCTTTCTCTCTCTTTCTCTCTGACTTTCAGCTTCCGTTCACCTGGAGTGAGAGGGAAGGGAGGACAGCTGGCCTGGAGGTAAAAATCAAGAGGGGAGGCATGAATGTGTGGCTTCTCACTCTCCTAGCCTGCCCAGCAGTGCCCTCCTCCAGGCTCCTGTGCTGGGAGGAGGGGCGCAGAGAGGAGAGCTGGTGAACTCCATGCACATACTGCCCTTTGACTCCCTGAAGCCCTGTGGGGTGTCCATAGGGGAGTACTTGAGAATAGTCCGTATCAAATGCTTAGGCCAGTGTTCTTTCTGCCACTCTGAGAGGACTGGTGACAAGAGGGAACACGGGGAACAAGCAGCCCCAGAAGGTCACAGTGCCTATCGGGACCGCCCTCCAAGGAGCGGTATTGATCGTCTCCATGCCGCACCAGCCAGGTGGCTGGATATGTGGCAAGGATCCCTGCTGCAGCTTGAGGTAGCGTCGTCCTCCTGAATCTACTGCCAGCTGAGCTCTGCACCAACCGATGAGGGGAATTAGCTGGACAGTTTCAGACAAGACTGGCCCCGTTCGCCTTTGCAAGGGGGTACATGCCCCCTCTTACAGTCACAGTAGTGCCTGCAAGGGTAGAACTGGGGAGCAGCTCCGACACCCTCCCCTACCCTCGCCTCCACATCTGTTGGAATGCCTGCCCGAGCCCTGTGGGGAGAGGTGGAAGGAGCCTAGGCTTCAGTCAGGTGAACCCAGGGTTGAATCCCAGCTTCGCCCTTTCTAGCTGAATCACCTCAGACCAGTCAGCCTCCAAGCCTCAGTTTCCGCTGCCGTGAAATGGACTCAGAAGCAGCCCTCTCTTGGGGGTCCTGTGAGGCTTGAGACCATGCATATAGTGCCTGACAGTCACCCGCTTAGTAATATGATTTTTTAAGTGCACTATTTCACATGCCCTGCTAACCCCAACCTTAACCCTTATGCTGAATGGGCGGTCCTTCTGTGGCTGACGGATGGCCCTGTGACCCTGCCTTTCCCCTTGGCAGGCTCCCCTGGTGCCCTTGCATCTGTTGCAGTCGGCGAGGGAGCGGGGGTGGGGTTGGGCAGAGGCTTTCTGGGGAATGGCCAAAATGAAAATTGTGTGTGAGTGGAGCTGATCATATTAAGATCCAGCTGCACTTAAGCCCCCTTCGGAAGTTCTTTAGGCCAAACTGAAGAGAGCTCCCAGATGCCAAAGTGGCCTCACAGTGATGCTCTGCTCACTCTCGGCTGCCCCACCACATGCTCCCCAGGTAATTGGTTTCCTAATGCACTATTCCGGGACAGATTCCAGGATTCCAGCGCCTTGTCCCCTTGGGGTTAGTTCTTGACGTTTCCTAACCTGGCAAGGGTCACCGACCAGGCTCAGACACACTGCCACAGGACTGTATTGTTTTCTTGTTCTTGCAGGCCACTTCCAAACTGTACAGAACGCCTTGGCCTGCAAGAGTAAACAAGATTACCAGGCTGGAATTCCGTTGAAGACCAGGGCTTTTATATCCAGAGATTGTGGGTCAGATGCGGTGAGGAATCCGTGAAAGGAAGACACAGTCCCTTCCATTACAGATAGAAATACACCCATGTGGCTTCTATTTTCCTTGGCAAAATTAGTTTTTTCTCCTTACTACAAAAGAGGTTTGTGTTCTTTGCAAGAAATTAAAAAGATAAAAAGAGAAAGTGTTTGTAACTTCACAAGCTAGACATGGCAACTCTTTACATTTGTGTGTGTATGTGTGTGTGTGTGTGTGTGTGTGTGTGTAAGACAGGGTCTCACTCTGTTGCCCAGCTTGGAGGGCAATGGTGCAATCACGGCTCACTGCAGCCTCGACCTCCCCGGGCTCAGGTGATCCTCCAACCTCAGCCTCCTGAGTAGCTGGGACTACAGGTCCACCCCACCACACCTGGCTAATTTCTGTATTTGTTGTAGACGGTCTTGCCATGTTGCCCAGGCTGGTGTGGAACTCCTGGGCTCAAATGATCCACCCCATCAGCCTCCCAAAGTGCTGGGATTATAGGCGTGAACCACTGAGCCCAGCCAACCTTTCACAACTTGCAGTATATATATTTTTTCTACACATTTATGTGCTTTTTAAAAGAAAGAAGTACCATCTTACTGAACTCATAGTTTTGGGGCCTTTTTCTACTTAGGTACAATGGTGCCTGCCATTAATTCTTATTCTGTGACATCATCTTGAGTGGCTGCATAGTGTTGTATACAGTTGTATTGTTATTTAACCAGTTCCTTTGTGTTGGATATTTAGACGGTGGTTGGTGTTGATGTTGTTTTTGCCGTTAGTAACCCTTTTGTTGATTTTGGAAATCATGAGAATGGAGGGAGGGAGGTAGGGAGCCCCTTCAGGCTTTGACCTCATTCAGACTTCAATTCAAATAATAAAAAGAGCAGGTAACACTTTTGAAGAGCTGGAATATGTTCCGGGCACTGCATTCAGTACTCTAGTATTTCGGTGCCTGATTTATGAATCCTCACGGCAGCCCATGGACTAGGCACTATTTTTATCTCCATTTTACAGTTAATCGGAGGCGCAGCTCTTCCACTGGTGTGGCTGGGTGCAGTCCTGTAGTTAAACCTTTGAGTACATCTCTGATTGTTTCTTAGAATAAATTCCTAAAAGTGGGGTCGCTAGCCCAGATCCGGAAGGCTATGCATATTTTAAGGCTTTGAATACATAATGGAAATGACTTTCCAGAAAGAGTACACCGATATATCCACCTGCCAGTGGTGTCTGAGCAGATCTGAGAACTCCTGCCCTGCTTGAGCACCGACTGTGTGCTGGGCCCTATGCTTAGTCTTCTACACCATTTCCCTCCTCAGAGAAGCAGCTGTGCTGTGCCTGGCACAGAGTAAGCAAGAACTCAGGACATCTCAGCCAGTGTGGGTGGTGGTGTTATATTGTGTGTCATTTGTTGAGAAACAAGACACACACTTGAAAAACATCAATAATAAGGTGAAAGTGGAATGAGGGGTCCTGATGATGAGTCTTAGAGCTGGCAGAGTGTGAGGTGGTGGCCAGGGAAGTCTGCCTGTTGGGGAGGCACTTGGAGAATGGGGAGGAGCATCCTGTGAAGTGATAGCTGAAAGGCTGATGAGCAGGGAGGGACCCCTTGGTCGCTTGTGTTGAGCTGGAGGGGAGATGGTTGGGGAGGAAGATGGCCCACATCAGGCGTAGGAGCTGACTTGGCAGAGGTGAGAAGACCTGGGAGAGAGACTGTAGGAGTCCAAGTTAGAGGCTGCATATGTGGCCTGGGAGGTACCTCTAGGAATGGTGAAAACAAAAGATGTTGGATTTTCTGGTGCCAGTAACACCCCTTCTTCCCATGAGTGCTGAAACAACAGAAGAACAGACACAGGACTCAGCTACAAGGTCCGCATATCAAGGTTATTACCGATAAGGCCAGGAAACCTTGGCTTACCTCCATGACCACAGTCAGACTTCTTGATATGCCCTCACCCTATCGAGGCCTCGGGGCACGCTGTCCGAGGAGACAGTCTGTGCTGCAGGCCCGGTCTCTGCCAACCGCCAGGAGGATCGCTGCCTCCCTCGGTGAGCCTGCGAGCGGGGAGCAGAGGAGGTGGGCCTCCAGGTGTGTCTCCCAAAGGTGGATGCTGGCCCTTCCCAGGCATCCCTTCCCCGTGGGGGATGCAGGAGCTGGGCAGCAGGCACTCTCTGTAGGCAAGCGGCTCAGAGTGGGCAGGAGAGGGCCGGATTCCCCATGCCCCAGGTCAGCTCCTTCTCCCAAGCTACTTCTAAGTCATTCCTCTGCTCTCGGGAAAGAGAGTTAGGGAGGCTGGGAGAAAGGGTAGAAGCTGCCTTTCCAATATTCTTCCCTCTTGGGAGTGCAGCGTTCCTCCCTTCATCGCAACACAAGGTAGGAGAGGCAGCCTTTGCCCTCATGCTGGCTGTCGCTCTTGCCAGCCCAATCCAAGATGCTTCAGAGGAAAGACTGCCAGCAACCAGCCAGACAGGGTGGTGCTGTGGTGGCAATTTTGGTCCAGTAGACCTGGTTCTAGTCCCAGCTCCTCCAAGGACTGCTACGTGACCTTTGGCAAATTCTTAGCCTGAGTTTCTCCATCTTCTATAAAACAGAGTTGTTGTAAGAATTGAGAGAGACAAAATGTATCTGACTGAGTACCGGCAGCTATTCTTACGGAATAGTGTGTGGATGTGAAGGAAAACGCGTGTGTGGCCTTGATTTTTGTTGTTTTTTGCTTTTATTTTGAGACAGGGTCTTCCTTTGTTGCCCAGGCTGGAGTCACTGGCACAATTGTGGCTCACTGCAGCCTTAACCTCCTAAGCTCAAATGATCCTCCTACCTCAGCCTCCTTAGTAACTGGGACTATAGACACACGCCACAATGCTCAGCTAATTTTTAAAATTTATTTATTTATTTTACTTTATTTTGAGATGGAGTTTCACTCTTTTGCCCAGACTCCAGTGAATTGGAATGATCTTGGCTCACTGTAACCTCTGCCCCTGGGTTCAAGCAATTCTCCTGCCTCATCCTCCCAAGTAGCTGGGATTACAGGCACCTGCCACCACGCCCAGCTAATTTTTGTATTTTTAGTAGAGATGGGGTTTTGCCATGTTGGCCAGGCTGGTCTGGAACTCCTGACCTCAGGTGATCCACCCACCTTGGCCTTCCAAAGTGCTAGGATTACAGACATGAGCCACCACACCTGACTGCTAATTTTTAAATTTTTTGTAGAGACGAGGTCTTGCTACATTGTGCAGGCTGGTTTTGAACTCCTGGCCTCAAGTGATTCTCCTGCTTCAGGCCTTCCAAAGCGCTGGGATTACAGGTGTGAGCCACCGTACCTGGCCTCTTGTGTGGGCTTTGGGCAGGTCTTACAGTCATGGAGCAATGTCTGTGTAAATGTGTTGAGAGCAAGGACTTGGGGAAAGGGAGGAGGGCAGAAAGGGACCTCAATCTGGGCCATTCTCACTGTTGATGGGAAGAGGAAACACAGAGAAAGCAACAGAGGAGCAGCCCTGAGAGGAAGGCACTCCTGAGAGCGTCTGTCCCAGCAGCCAGAAGCAGGGCTGGATTCCCAGCTGGCTCCCAGCCCCTGCGAAGCCCTGGATTCTTCCGCTCTAGCCTGGGGTAAGGGCTGGCAAGGTGGTCAGTGTCCATAAAGACAGTAAGATACCAGGCCTGTGTCCTGGCATAGAGCACTCTGGATCTTTGTCCTGCCTCTGGCTCCTGGGAAAAGCCTCTTCCTGCTCTTGGCCTCAGTTTTCCCATCTGTAAAATGTAGGGGTTGAGCCATGATATGGTTTGAATATTTGTCCCCTCCAGATCTCATGTTGAAATGTGGTTCCCAGTGTTGGAGTGGGCCTGGTGGGAGGTGTTTGGATCATGGGGGTGGATCCTTCATGAATGGCTTGGTGCCCTCCCCGCAGTAAGGAGTGAGTTCTTGCTCTGTTATTTCATGCTAGAGCTGGTTAAGTAAAACAGCCAGGTATCGCTCTTGCTCCCTCTCCCTGTGTGATTCATGCCTGCCCCTGCTTCACTTTCTGCCATGAATAAAAGCTTCCTGAGGCCTCACCAGAAGCCAAGCAGATGCTAGTGCTGTGCTTGTACGGCCTGCAGAATGGTGAGCCGAATAAACCTCTTTTCTGTATACATTACTCAGTCTCAGGTAGTCCTTTATAGCAATGCAAAATGGACTATTACAAACCAACTTAAAAATTGTTTTTAGCTCCTTTGACCACAACCCATGGTAAAAAAGAAAAAAAGTTTTTACACACACACACACACAGACACAGACACACACACTAAAACTAAAGCTTCATGAAACAATACTGTATGGCATATGTTTACTCTGATGTTTTGTGTTTCATTGTATATCATTAAAAAATGCTGACCATGGCCCCCTAAACTGATTGTACAGCCCATTAATGAGCCACACTCCGTGGTCTGAAAACACTGACCCAGCTCATCTAGAAGGTTCCTTCCTGCTCTGGCAGGCTGCAGTTTTGTTCCATTTCCTGTAGCCTCACGACCCCATCAGTCAAGTCTTTGTGGTTTTCTTCTTTGCACTCTTGTAACAGTGGTTTCCAATCTCAGACTCTGCACTGAAGGCATGGTCATGAGCCCAGTTGCTGGAGGTGCATCCCCCACGCCCCTGCCTGAGCAGCATGAGGCCTTCGAAGCCACCTGCTGGGGTGTCGTGAGTGGGGAGGGGCCTTCATGCCTTCTGCCATCATCACAGAGTGGGTTCGTGTGTCATCCACACTCCCCTCCGTGCCCCATCGCAAGACTCTACTGCATCAGTCTATTCCCTGGAAAAATGGTTGGGATTTGGAGTCCGGCTGCCGATTAGAATTCTAGACCCTTCCCAGGCCCAGCTAGCTCCCTCTTCACCTTCTCCTTCTGCCCACTGAACCTCTCCCTGGGCAGGTCCAGGGGTCACCACTGTGGGAAGTGCTGATGGGTGAAAAGAGCTTTGGCAGCAGATGGACCTGGGTTTACATCCCAGCTCCACTTCTGCCTGGCTGTGTGGCCTTGGGAAAGTTCCCTGACATCTCTGAGTCTCTTTCTTTGAAAAAAGCTTGGAGATAGTCATACTGCTCTGGGAAGATAAATTTAAGGGTGGGACGATAGGCACAAAGTGCTTTTTGTTGGTGCCTGGCAAGAGTTAGATGCTCAGGAAAAATTTGTGCCTTTAAATCTCGTCCCCTGCACGTCCCTTTAAGGGAATGGTTGGAGAAATGGCAGCTGTTGCCATCTTGAATAAAGAAGGGGAACATGCCTTCCACAGGGGGACAACATTAGGGAGGGGCTGTCTCAAACTGGGTGCACCGGGAGTAATCCCACCCAGCCCCAAACCTGTCCTAAAACTGCAGAGCCAGGTGCAGCAGCACTCTGGTGTTCACAGGGCAGCCTGAGGCTGTCTGAGGAGGAGCACAGGCAGGGCTTAGGGAAAACGGGCTCTGGGCCCCCAAAAGTGGGCCCGTAAGGATGGTGGTGTGTCCTCCTGTGTGGCCTCGTTTTATCTCAGTATGTTTTCAAAAATGTCTGGTGAGATCCTCATGGACTGCCACCCAGGGAGGAGGACGAGCCTTCCAAATCCCAGGGTCATGAGAAGACCCTTTTTTTTTTTTTTTTTTTTGAGACAGGGTCTCATTCTGTCACCCAGGCTGGAGTGCAGTGGCACAGTCTCGGCTCATGGCAACCTCTGCCTCCGAGTTCAAGCGACCCTCCTACCTAAGGCCCTTGAGCAGCTGGGACCACAGATGCGCATAAACATGCCTGGCCAATGTTTTGTATTTTTAGTAGAGACAGGGTTTTGCCATGTTGCCCAGGCAGGTCTTGAACTCCTGATCTCAAGCGATCTGCCTGCCTTGGCCTTGCAAAGTGCTGGGATTACAGGTGTGAGTCATGGCACCCAGCTGAGAAGAACTTTCTAGCAAACACCAGAACCAAAGTATCGGAGCAGGCAGTCCTGAGATGCTGTTTGCATGCCCTCACGCTGTTACCTCTTAGCAAGGCTTCGTGAAAGTCATCTTTGCAGGTGTCCTTAGCGCCCACAGCACTTTTTTTTTGGTGCCACCCACAGTGGTAAATCATGGAAAGGTGGATTTGAACCAAGCTGGGAAACAGACGGGATGTAAGCACCTCCATTACCAGGGACTGCCATGCCAGGGAAGCTGCTTCCCAGAACTTGGAAGCAGTTCCTTCCAGGGCTCCTGACTCAATAGCCACCCCCTTTGTCACCTCAGCTCCTGATAACTGCAGAGCCTGGGGCTCTGAGAGCCAAAGTGACTTGCCCTGGGTCACACAGCTTTAATAGCAGAGGCTGGAGGTCCTTTGGAGGGTTGTGCTGTGTAGCTGGGACTTGGTACTACCTGGGAAAACCTCTAACCCTCTTGCCTCTGCATTTCTGGCTCCAGCTGCCCTCTTCTCTGTTTTTCCGGTAGCCAGAAGACTCTGCTTCCAAGGGAGAGACTTGTACTTTAACCTTGGAGCATAAGGTAAGTTGCTCAGACTTGCTTTATGGAATCGTGGTACTGGCTCATGGTTCAGTAGGAGCAGCGAAACTTCTCAGAATGCAAGGCTGCAAGCCCAGTCTCTATGCTTACCAGCTGGCAGATGTCCCTGGACCTCTGTGTCCCTGTCCACATATGAGGGAGTAATGTCAGATGGACCTAGTCCAGAGAACCTGCCCTCCCAGGAGGCAGCCAGGCTCAAGGTAAAGTCCAGGATGGGGTATCCCATCCTGACTCCGCCCTGCCTTGCCACTGGCTGTATGACCTTGGTCTTGTTCCCTCCCCTCTCTGGTCTTCTCTGTCTTCATCTCAAAAGACAGCAAAGATATTCCTGTTTTGCTGAAGTCACAGGGGGTGAAACTACTTTGCAAAGCTTAAGGGCCAAAGATTGTGAAGGATTTTATTCTCAGCTGTGTAAAGATTCTCAGACCAGTGGTCCCAGAAGAGGAACACTCAGGCCTGCAAGAAAGCGTGTGGGAGGGGCTGAGCCACAGCCCCTGGGTGGGTGAAGCTGTGCTGGAAAGCAGACCCTTGGCAGGGAAATGAGCTCTCGTTACTCACATCAGCACCCCAGATCCACAGGCTGGGCTTGATTCTTGGGAGGTCTCCCTGGGCTCTGACTCCCTCAGAGTCCCCAAGAATCTCCGAGCCCCTGACTCCAGCCTAGTGTTCCCCGGGACTCATCCTGGGAGTCAGGGGTGCCAGGGTGCCTCCTCCGGTGGGACCAGCCCTGCCATGGCAGCTGCTGCAGCTGGTATCCCATTGCAGTGTTACAGTGAGGCTCAGATTACACAGTGAGCTCATCCCAGCATGAATGGGGCCACCGGGGCAGGGCATTGGAAACTGATGGACCGATGTGAGGGCTATCACGGGGGGTCTCCCTGGACCCTCTCCCTCCCTCCCTCTCTCCCTCTCTCCCTCTCTGTGTGTCTTGGACTCTCTTCCTCCCTCTCTCTCTCTCTCTCCCTCTCCTCTCTCTACACCCCTTCTTGGAGCTTGCCTGGGATTGTCATGGCAACCCTCCAGCAAAATTATCAAAACACTTTTATGCTCCCAATCGTACCAGACGAAGTGCTAATTCTGAGTAAGGCTGAAGCAGTTGGTTAAATGCTGAAGTCACAGACTTTGTGTGGAGGCCCCCCTGGGGGTGGAGTGGGCACCAGTGGGAGGTGAGGGCTGGGCACAGGGGCAGGACCACCCAGAAAAGACTCAGTCTCTCACCTGCTAGAGACATTGTGTGTGTGGCTATCCCGTCCCCACCCCTTATGCCACATTGACATTTGCATTCCACACACACACACACGCACACACACACGTACGAGCAGTGGCTGGGCCAAACACACCCAAAGTGTAGATCGACCCAAACAGAACCATCTGGAATAATCATCACCTCATTCAGTGCTTGGAACTCTGCGACCCACTCTGGGGAGAGTTTTGGGTGAGGCGGGGATGGCCAGTTGCCCAATGCTTCTAGCTGGTGCTGGGTCTGAGCTAGGGCAACAGAGCAGCCGTGGGAAGGGGCCTGACCTTCCTGCCCAGCCCCCAGGGAAAAGCAAAGGAGGACCTGTGAACAGAACTGCCCCAGCCTGGTTCTTCCAGCCTTGATGTGCGTCCCAGGACACACTGCATCCCTGCTCCCCTGTGACTCAGACCCAGGTTACCATAGGCTCCCTTGGAAACAAAGCCCTGCTAATGGCTGAAGAACTGGTGGTTGCTTTTTTTAAGATTCCAGTTCTGCCCAAAAGCCAAAGTGTGGGTAGGGACGATGGGGGAGGTGGTGCACAAGCCCCTCCCCTCTCTGCTTCCATCTCCCCACCCCATCTGCTTCCCCAGGACACCCCTCCCTGGAAGCCAGCCTTCCCCTGCAGCCTCAGTGCAGGCTGCTCTGGCTGGAGGGGAGGCATCTACTCCTGCAAATGGGTGCCCTCATCCTCCAGAGGATTCTAGGACGTTAGAGCAAGAGGGACCCCCAGCGAATCAGAGTCTGGCCTCCTTGCTTCCCAGATGGGGGAACTGTGGCTCAGAGATCGGAAGCAATGGTTCAAGGCCACAGAGTGTGTACACGCGCGTGCACACAAACACGTACAAGCGGTGGCTGAGCCAAACACACCCAAAGTGTAGATCGACCCAAACAACCAACCTGCAGCCAGGCTTCTGGCTTCCAGGCCAGTGCTGTTCTCATTGCATCAGAGAGACTACAGGATGGGGTGGCGCAAGCAGTGAGCGCCAATTTCAGAGTCAGGCAGGCCTGGCCTTGAACGCTGGCTTCAGTGCTCAGCACTTAGTGTAACCCTGGTCAGTCCCCCCCGCCACCTGAGTCCTCAGCTGTAAAATGGGGCGATGCTAGGGTCCCTCTGGAAGGACACAGTGAGGATGACTTCATTGAGGTGGTATGTGCAAGCGCAATCACAGCTGGCACAAGGCCAGACACAGAGTGAGTGTTCAACAGATGACTTTTATTTTTATTTTTCATTTTTTTTAGAGCTGTGGTCTCACTATGTTACTATGTTGCTCGGGCTGGCCTGAAACTCCCGGGCTCAAGTGATCCTCTAGCCTCAGACTCCTGAGTAGCTGGGACTACAGACATGCACCACCATGCCCAGCAACAAATGACATTTCTGTGTCCTTCCTCTGTAGCCCCAGAGCTACAGACCTGCTGAGAAGAGGGACTGTCCTGCATCCCTTTTAAGGGCCGACCCCTGTCCCGGGGTGGCTGGGTGAGGCCATGTAGCCTGGAAAAGCCCACACTGACCCCTCCCACAACTCTGAGCTCCTGCAAACTCAGCAAGTCCCAGGAAGGCCCAGAGGGCAAGAGGAAGCAGGACCCCCTAATCCTCCCAGGCCTGCCCACCCTTTGCATCTTGGCTCTCAGGCCTTTGGAGGAGGGAAAAATGTTGAAAGAGGTGTTGATATCTGCCAAGGCCCCTGAGGCCACCTTTGGGCATCAGCAGTAACAGCACCCCAACCCGGTTCCCTGCTGCTGTGCGGAGCTCCACCCTTGGAGACATGATGAGAGCACAGCGTTGCTCAGGCTGGCTTCCTCTTTTAAATTGTGAGTCAGGCAGGAAGGTATAAGCCACCAAAACCCCCAGATGCCCTCTGAAGCAGGAATTTCTTGGAACCTTTCCCTGATATCTTCTCCACCAAGTTGGGGGCTGGGTAGGTTTTAGGATGAGATCATAAAAGCAAAAGGAACTTTTATTTTATGCTTACGACATGCTGGGTACTGTGCTAGGCGCTTTCCTACACACTGGCACCCAGGGGCATTGCTTCTGCTTTCCAGGTGCGGAAGAGCCACCAAGGTCACAGAATGAATGAGTCCATGGCAGCGCTTAGGTTAGAATCTAGGTCTCTGTTCTCCTTACCTGATGGTGGCCTTTGGCTGGCTCCTTGGGCAGGGAAGGGCAGAGAAGGCATAAAAAGGCCACGGCGGGGAGGGGTGGTCCTGGCCCTAGGGACATCCTGAGGTGGAGGAGTCATGGCTGGGAAGGGTGGGTGGCAGGACCCGGGGATCTAGGCAGTATGGGAGCTCGGTCCTCCATGGGAGGTTCAATCTCCCCACCCTCCCCTCCTGCCTTCTTCTAAGAGGCCCCCAGTGAGCAGGGCCCAAGACCCAGGAGGGGATGATCTTATTGCTAATTTAGGACCTCTGCTATGAAGCACACACCCTTTTTCTTATTTTCACTGCCCTGGGCCGGGATGGGGAACCTCCCATCCAGGGGAGTGGAGGAAGTTGACTTAGGGTACCCTAGTCCCTGGCCTCAGAATTTGGGGTCCAGAGGAGCTGTGTGTGTTGGAGACAGTGTAGCACCTTGGCTGGCCTGTTGGGAGCCGTAGGAGCAGGGCACACGTGGTAGCAGTCCATGCCACAGGGACCTCTGCGTGCCAGCTCTGTGCTGGGTGCTGGAAAGGCAGTGGCCAACACTGACCACCTAGTGGGGAAGGCGGACAGTACAGTGTCAACAGACAAGTAGGAAGACTCTTTAGATAATGACAAACATGCCATGAAGGAAAGGGGGACAGAGAGACTGAGGGGCAGCCCTCAGTAGGGTGGCCAGGCAAGGCTTCTTCAAGGAAGTAGTAACATCTGAGCTGAGAACTCTGCAGGACAGACAGTCAAGTGGCTTGTCCAAGCTCATACAGTAAGTTCTGGGGAAGCCAGACTAGCACGCATCTCTAGACTCCCTTTGAGCGGTCTCCCTGCTCCTAGAAACATCCTTCTCTTGGATTCTGACATGTCTTCCTGTTTTCCTCCTACTCTGTTGAACACTACTTCTCTGAGTCCTTGGCTGACTTCATCCTCTTTCCAGTGCCGGACTGTCCCGGCCCTCCCCTGGAATGTGGGCCTCCACCCAGCCCCCTCCAAAACGGCCACCTCCACCCCTCACCTCTCCCCTAGCTTCAGTGGCCTGCTCGACATCTCCACCTGGACGTCAAAGGGTCTCTTAGAACAATGCTAAGTCCATATAATAGAGACCCCAAGTTAGAGTAGTTTAAAAAGATTCAATTGATTGTTCACTCCTGTAATCGTTACAGGGGAAGTGCTTCAGGTTGGCGGATGGCTCAGCTCCACGTGGTCATTTAGGGACTCACTCTAATGACTGTGCTGCTATCTTTAACGTGACAGTTCCAGAATCTCTCTGGTTATTGCACTTCCAGCCAGTGTGAGGGGAAAACCACAGAAGTCTAGGGCAGGAATTTCTTCTTAATCGAGCGAGGCAGAAGTTGAGCATACTTCTCACATTCCACAGATGAGAGTTTAGACACATAGCCTCCTAGCTGCAAGGAGAGTTGGGTTATGCCCTAGCTGGGCGGCTAGCTGTCTCTGTCACAGCCTATCCTCGAGAACAGCAAGGACTTGCCTGCCCTGGCAGCAGAGGAGGTCCTCTGGGGGTGACCCCTTATTCTGTGTCTCTCTGACCTTGACTTTGCCCTTCAACATTGCTTGCTTGTCATTCTCCACAACCACTGACAGGGTGTTGAGAGTCTACCCTCCTTAGCTGACTCAGGCTTGAGCAATCATGGGCTTTTGCAGTCCAGCCTTGCAATTTTGTTGGTGATAACAATTCCTTCAAAATAGTAGGCTTTATCTTTAGTCAGTTCCTTGAGCTGTGACCACATCGAAAGCTCCTTTCTTGACAGAGTTATGAAGTCTACCTTCCATACCCTTCTTTTTCCCATTCATTTAAAATGAAAGTGGCTGGGTACAGTGTCTCACGCCTGTAATCCCAGCACTTTGGGAGGCTGAGGCAGGTGAATCACTTGAGGCCAAGAGTTTGAGACCAGCCTGGCCAACAGGGTGAAACCCCATCTCGACAAAAATACAAAAATTAGCTGGGCGTGGTGGTGTACACCTGTAATCCCAGCTACTCGGGAGGTTGAGGTGGAAGAATTGCTTGAACCCGGGAGGCAGAGGTTGCAGTGAACCGAGATTGCACCACTGCACTCCAGCCTGGAACTCCAGCCTGGAAAACAGAGCAAGACTAAATCTCAAAATAAATAAATAAATGAATAAATAATAAAATGAAGGTTATCCTAAGGACACCCTAAAGAACAGACTTAGATGACAAGGTAGTACCCTTAATATAATACTTTGCCACAGGGGGATTTCTTTATTTGGTTTAAAGTTTGGTCTAAGAGACAGGCTTTGAGAGAGGCTCTGAGCCATGATAGTCTGACTTACTGCTCTTTGGACAAAACCAGTTGGCTTTTTCAACACCAAGGTCACCAGTTTTCTGAATTCTCTGTATTTCTGTCTATCTCTTCTTGCAAACTGGCCAATCTCTTTCTTGTAATATTTTGCTAAAAGCAGCATCAAGCAGCCAACACAAATGGCTTCGGCTCTTTCCAACCGTTTTTCTAGAATGATAGGCTCAATAGGCATGTAGGCTGTCTTCCACATGATCACAGGTGACATTTGCAATAAATGTTTTGTCCTAGCATAACAAGATTCACTGGCTTCTCATCATCTAATATCTGTTTCCATCTTGCTCACCACCTATTGGCTAAGCCAATGCCATATATTTGAGGGGTTTTATATGTGGCACTTTCCAACTCCTGGTGCAAATTTCTATAAGGAGCTACAAAGTACAGTGGTTTTAAGGTTATAGAAATTGCTTTTTTTCTCATGTAAGGTAGTTCTGATGTGAGCATTTCAGGCATCATTCAGGTGCATGGTGCGTTTTGATAAACAGCCAGCAGATTCCTCAGTGCCCCCCCGCCAACCCTTCTCTTCCCCAACACATTCACCTGTGTATCAATGGTACCACCATCACACACTTGCTCAAGCAAATACATAGAAGTTAACTTATTTTTCATTGTTTATTTTTGGAGACAGGGTTTCACTCTGTCACCCAGGCTGGAAGGCAGTGTTGAAATCTTGGTTCACTGCAACCTCTGCCTCCCAGGTACAAGCAATTCTCGTGCTTCAGCCTGGGTAGCGGAGATTACAGGCACCAGCCACCACGCCTAGCTATTTATTTATTTATTTTTTTAATTTTTAGTAGAGACAGGGTTTCACTGTGTTAGCCAGGATGGTCTCAATCTCCTGACCTCGTGATCTGCCTGCCTCAGCCTCCCAAAGTGCTGGGATTACAGGCGAGAGCCACCGTGCCCGGCCGAAATTCTATCTTTGTAACCTGCCGCTAAGGCCTCAAGTGACTGTCCCCCCTTGCCATCCACCTCTCTCACTCTGCTTTAGCCAACAAGCCTCCTTGCTGTTTGTTCCTCCAATATACCAAGTGAATTCTTGCCTTAGCATCTTTGCACTAAGACTCCCTCCGCTCAGATACTGTCTTCCCACCTTTTCACATGGCTGGTTCCATCTTTGTCCATCGCAGGGCAAACCGCTGCAGTGTAGTGGGTAAGAGTGAGGGCTCAGGAGCCACGCTGCTGGGGTTTGAATCTCAGCTCTTGCTACTTCCTGCTGTGGGACCCTGGGGCAAGTTTTCTTAGCTTCTCTGTGCCTTGATTTTTCTACCTGTAAATGGCAATAAGAAATGTATGGTATTTGTTACCCAGGGTGGTTGGGAGGATTAAATAAAATAGTGAACACACTGCATTCATGTATAAAAAGTGAGCAGAGCATGGCCATACTAAGCACTTAGCATGTTATTATTGCCCTTCGGGTGGCAGCTTAAATATCCGGCTCTGAGTAGCCTTTCCTGGCCCGGTGCTCTAAGCATCTCACCACCTGCATCCCTAGCTCATCGCCCTACTTTATTTCACCACAAAACATGTTCTTGTTCATGTGTGTATCATCTTGTCTCTCCCCACAACACCCCATTCCCACTAGAATGTAACTTGCATGAGGGCAGGGACTGTACCTTTCTTGTTTGCTTCCATGCCTTTCCTGAGCAGGAAAGTAACTTCTCAGTACATCTTTGTTGAGTGGGTACGGAAAAGACAGAGGCCAAATCCCACTGACCCCCTTCTTTTCGGGTGGCCCTTTGAGCCCTGCTGGGTGCCTGTCAGTGCCCCGCATCTCAAGCGCACGTGGCCATGGCCAGGCTCACAGTTTCCTCTTGGGGGTCCCAGGACATAGGGCAGGGGCTGCCCTGTGGACCTGCTCTTAGAGACCGTGGGGGCACTGGTGAGATTTAGCACACGGTACTCACCCTCAGCAGGGGACTGTCAGAGCTTGGACTCTGGAGTCCAGCCCATCTGTTACCATCAGATACTAGTGGACCATTTACTTATCCCCTCTGTGCCTGTGTTTTCCCATATGTAAAAATGAGAGAATACCAATTACCTCATAGGGCTGCTGCGGTGAAGATTAAACAGGATAATATATATAAAACAGCGCATGGTTGGCTTGGAGTAAAGCTCTCCAGATGGTGGTGGCTATTATTATTGTTGTTGTTGTTGTTGTTAGTGCCATATCCAGTTGTCAGTCTTCAGAGCATGAATAGGGGTGCCCGAGGGACTTGGGTTTGGGAGTGAGGAGACAAACATAAAGAAGACATCTAGGGAAGGGAAGAACCGGAATGGAATAATCGAGGTGTGTTTGCATTCGTGTGTGTGTGTGTGTGTGTGTGTGTGTGTGTGTGTGTGTGTGTGTGCGAGCGAGCGCGCGCGCGCGCCTGCGGAGGGGGCTGGCAAGGATCCAAAGGGGGAGCCCGCCCCTACCTCCGAGCTCAGCTCTGGGGAGCCGGGCGCTCAGGCTCGCCAGGCTGCAGAGAGCTGGGAGCTGCCTCGCGCCCCGCGCAGAACCGGCGGCGGAATAACCAGCGCCTCGAGTGTGTGCATCTGGTATCGGGGGCGGGGGAGGGCGACCTGCGCCCCCGCGGCCAACCCAGTTGGTGCAGACTTGGGGATCCCAGAAGGGACAGCGCCCGCCCTGTCTCGGCGATTGAGGGTCCCTGCCCAGGCTCAGCTTGGGCCCGCCGCGTGCTCTGGGGCCGCGGATTCTCCCGGAACC